ATACAATAACGATGTTAAAGTATTATATTTGTTTAAATACATGTGTACGATATGCATCATCCTCATAAGAGTTTCGATAGTATTTTCATATATATTCATAGTGTTGTTTGAAGTTGTCCCAGACAATTGGGACGTGTAAAGAAAGTGGATATTCGGTGAGTTCACTCTTGTTGCATATTTTCCTGTTAACATCCTGCTGGTTGGAGGTTCCGAAAAAAAGTGCCAAGAAATTAGCAACGGTTAAAAACAGCAGGAGTGAACTCTATACTTAATTCGCAACCCTTTAATACATACGGTAACAAATAGCTTCATTATACACCTGACACTGTGTAGAGTGAAGCATACACCTTATGTATTCCAGCAGTTTAGTCCAGCAGATTACTATAGAAATATTAAATATTTTAGAAGATGTATATTTACCATTATTAGATGTAATGAATCATTGGTAAAAACGGTTGTAAACCCTGTTTCTATTTGAGAATGTATTGAACAGTTTAAAAAGTATTGTTGATACTGCGAATGTATTGGTAGAGAAATTTAAAATAAACTTAACTATATAAAATAATCGGAAACAATCAATAGGAAACTGAGAAGCGTCTTGTTGAAGCCTGATGATTAGTGGCGGAACCAGGAGGGCGAAAGTTCCGCTTTCCCCTTAGTGCTGCCAAAAACCTCGAAGCAAGTTTCATCAGTAAGGTAGAGATTAAATGACTAAACCTCAAATTTCCATGGGAATAGCCCTCAGATTTCCCCCCCCCCCACAATATGAAAGGGAACACCTCAATTCTCCCCTCGGACAATTGGTGTCCACCATCCCCTCGATTGCCATCACCATCGTTCCACCCTTTCCGAATAGAATAGAATATACGCATCTCAGCTATCTTCTGTATACCATGGAGGAGATATATTAAGATATATACACAGCAAATACAGTAAAATAATTTGTTTAGCAGTTAATAATGCATGGTCTACATAGACCTGTCTTTAAAAATAACGATGATGAGAAATAAATATTAGAAAAACAGGAAACTTGATATAGCCTAAATTTGATTTAAAAAAAACGGCATGACTTACTCGGAAATAGATTGATTTAACCACTGGTTTAATGCACTGTTATTCAATTGTCTTGGTGTCCTATAAAACAAAAACATGTGAAAAAAGTAATCAACTAGAGTACGTTTGATTATTATGAGAGTCAGTGCTGGATCAGGACGAGAGGAGTGCACAAGAAAAGTTCCTCCAGCTTCGATCGCCAGCGTTGCAACTTCCATTAAAAAAATGTTTTAGCCTATAATAAGTAGAATGAGCAATAGCTTGTATCATAAGCCTCGAGGATCATAGGCCTACATGACTGCTCATTCTTATCTTCATCTCAAAATATAATTCTATGGAAAGTTGTTCGTAATTAAAGTTATTCAACCAGTTGCTTTGATAGACTAAAACCTCGAATAGAAGCCCTGGGCTTTTCTTCAATTTTTGTTATCATGCGAACCTTGGATTGGCTTCTTTTCGAGGCTACTTTTGGAAAGTAAAGAGGGGCTTCTTTTCAAAATGAATGCTGTACATTTTGGGAATCACTACTATAAAACAATAAATAGGGCCACTGTAACATCAGTATGTATCTTGGAGTGTATTTCACAGGCAAAAAATCACCTAAACTACAGTGTAACGAAGTGGAAGGTGTTTTAAATATATTTTGTTTCTTTAAAATTCATGTACTGTACTGTACTGCCTCGAAAATAGCCCATGCTATCTTGAAAAAAGCCCATATGTGCCTTTTCGAGGCTACATTTGCAAACCAATGTGGGGCTTCATTTCGAGATGGGCTTCTCCTCGAGATTAAAGTCCATTGGGCTTATTCGAGGTTTCACCGTACATAACTTTGTTTCCCCACCTTAATAGTACTTATGAGGTTAGTATTTCATATTTGAACAATTAAGGCCTTTTAATTACACACTAATGAGCATTATTGTAGGTCTACAAATTTTAAGGGCACAATTTGAAAAAAAAAAAAAATTGACAACCAAAATATATTGCCTAATTCTTTGACAGAGGTTTTGGTTGTGGTACATTTTGTAATGCATTCGAACAGTGAATGAATGCGTACAGTATATATTGATCTAAACATGAAACCAATCAGAAGTACTAAGTAATGGATGAATTGGGTAAAATGTTTCAATCGAAAATCTGAAAAAATAATGTCTTGCGGTGGTCTTTGAGTTTAATGAGAGCCAACCATAAAAAAAAAATCATGAGTCAGCCAACAAATTATTTTACGACTAGCGTTTTCAACAATTACACTTAATTGTCAACAATACTCATGTCGAAATGGTGTAATCAATAACTCATTATAATTGAATACAAACCACCCACAAATGTGAGCCAACCAGAAGATATGCAGGTTAAAACATTTCAAAACATGTGCATCACGCCTGAGTAATGTTCGTAAGTATTTTTGTTTTGAGATGGCACATTGAACTCTTTAATTGATTGTACATCCATGGACACGGTGTACACATCATCACTCTTATTTCACCTTCAGGCAATTCATTAAGGAATACATATTTTATTACTGGGACAGGAATGGTATCACATCACCTTCTAGATGGAAATGGGAGTTGAGACAGCTTGTAAAGTGTGTTGATTTTCATCATGATTATAATCAAGGTCACCAAAATCACCATCACCATGATCATGATTATCATTATTATCATCATCATCATCATCATCATCACGAGTATCATCGTTTATTATCAACATCATCATCATCATCACCACCATCAAACTATATTGATATAAATTGATAGGAAAACATAAGTGTAACATTGGGTTGAATTGAATTTGAGTATAAGTATTAGTTAGAGTGTAAGTATTAGTTTGAGTATAAGTAGTACCGTAATAATGATAAATGTAAGTCTTATATAGCGCATAATACAAGAAAGTTTCTTCGCGCTTTACATTAACAAAACAACTAACATCGCCTAACCATGAAATATCCTAATAATAAAAAGAAAACTATAAGTATGAGCAACTTAGCTCAGTCGGCTATGTGGTAAACAAACGTAATGACTATTGACTGATTAACATGTTAGCGTTAAATACATAAAGTAATGTAAATTGACATAAGTTTAAAGTCCATGAGTTGCTGTGTTACCTCTTATTTATGACCATAAACAAATCATTATGAATGTGCATTCTTTAAGTGTGGTATTTATTTAGGTCTATTTATTGTTAGTCCTTCAACAACAGTAGAAAATACTTGATTAGGACCACTTATTTGCAAACACAAGACAATTAACGCAGGACAGACCTAGGAAAAGGTCTTCTTAGTGTAAATATACACATGAAACGTAATCAAATGTTAGGCCTGTCGTGATACAGTCCTTGGTGTGGGATTTATCATACATGGGGATTTCAATACGCAAAACAATTCGGAATTTTGCAAGATTTTAACTCAGGCATTGGCCTATATATCCAATAATTAAATTATATATGTCTCTTATACACAATATAATATATATATATAATATATATATATATATATATATATATATATATATATATATATATACATACTTAAAGATATATGTGATTTGCCAACAATTATAATGATAAAAAAATTATGTAATGCATAAATAAAGCGTAAATATTATAAATAGTGCAATATAATAATTACTATAATTTATAATGAGTATAAAGATTATATTAGGCCTACAATAATAGTGATAAAAATGGTGATGAGGATGATGGTGATGTTTTGATGAAGATGGTAGTGGTAATGATAATGAATAAAGATAATGATAGTGATGATGATAATGATGATGATGATGATAATGAAATGTGGTGTATGCAAAACTTTCCATCATTATAAATAAAACAGGTCTATTCAGTGTGGATAGGTACTGATTAATATTAACTAAGATTAGTAGGCCTATAATATTACAAATTTCAATTCACATATACCTTTATTTCATGAACGTTATTGCAACTGAACATAACAAAATATAAATTAAACTGTTTCAGCAAAAAATTATGCAGCACAAATATTTTCTTTGAAGTTTTATATAAGCCTGGAAAATATATAGGTCTATATTTTATCACACACATTCTAAATGGTATCAATACATCAAATCGTTAATTCACAAAAACAGACGTCTTGAATAATCAGCATATGCAGTGATGAAAACAGGTGGTATATTAAAATCGTGCATAACATCAGATTGCTGATCACTGCAGTATTATTCTGTTACTCATGGATAGACAATGACACGACTATCGAATAAAGACAAGGTCTACAGACAGTTCGGAATTAAAATACTGAAAACGCAACATCATCATCGTCATTCTTGTTGTCATAGTCATCCTTAAAAACACCAACACCATCATCATCATAATCATCGTCATTCTCATCATCAATGTCATCTTTAACACCATTAACATCATTGTCGTCGTCGTCGTAATCGACGTCGTCAACATTGTCTCCGCGTCGCCTTCATTACCGTCGTCGTCGTTATCGTCATCACCAACACCAAACAAACACTAAATCTAAATTACTTTTATAATATCCTACTCTGGTTCAACTTTTAGAAAATTAAGGTACAGTATTAATTAGGCCTATAGCATGCAATATTTCAGCTCAAAATCTTCTCACTATTCTCCTTCCCTCTATACATTTCTAAATTTGCAACATTTTGTCTTTGTGGGCGTTCTGATTAAGAAATGATTAAAAAACGATGACACAGCCTATAAACCACCTGCATAAAAGAAATTAAAAATTCAATATCCTTACCTGACAACACCCTGCATTGTTGATGTACGTGCTTTTTATCAACTGGTTGAGACAAAACGAATGAAAAAAAATTTGCCCCGAGGTCGGAATACACAGTAAACGTATAATTTTTCTCCACTTAGTTGTTCAGGAAAGAAAACATACAGATTGGTATTATGGTGAATCGTTAAATATGGTCCTACTTCAATACTCACAAAGGAAAGATCTAGTCTGAAAGCAGATGAGAACGTGCTTGATGCAAAAGTATGCTACTTGCAATGTATGAATCCAAAGAGGTATTATTTTCCTGGTAATTGTAGACTATTCCACTCATTTAGAGGGGTGAAAGAGGAATGTAAAACATTAGAATAACACTTCTTATTCATTTCTGCAGACCAAGAGAGACGACGTCACCACTCAATGCGTTGCGAGTACACAAAAAATACAGTATTCTACAACGATAAAAAAAATATATTTACTATGAATGTTTTTTTAAAATACAATGACAATGGGCGTATTCGACAAGTTCATTTCGTTGACTACGAATTTGCGTTGAGTATTATTTTCATTCGACACGTTTCGTAAAATAGAATTCGTTGACAACGAAAATTAACGCAAACCAGAGTGCGTTAATCAGGTTAAGTTATTCACGTGACCAACAAAAATGGCCGATTGGTAAGTTTAGAAACAAAAATTGCGTTGATATAATTTAGATTACATTTAAGAAAATAAAAATTATACTATTTACCCACATGAAGTCAAAAAATAATTGTAGGCTAACAGAATTCAAAAACAGCCATTTTGTTTTGTCGAGTATTTACAAGTTTTCTATTCGACTGGTCGTCTTTTTATTCGTATTTTACCGCTGCGCAGCTGGGCGTAGTTTAACGGAGAACGACCAGTCGAATATAAAACTTGGTTCACAGGGCTGACAGTTAGTATTACAAAAATATATACTGATAGATACAGAACCCGTGAAAATTGTGTATACTTGAGCCATCGATGGCACTTTTCCACAATCACAAAAGTTTCAAAGTCATATAATAATACAAATTTCATAATCAGTTGATAGCTTATGAACATACGATACGCTTGAATTTTAGAATGGATGTGAATAGAATTGGCATGAACAACATTTTGAAAATAAAGTTAATTAAATTATTATATATTCGAATTACCATTGAAATTGATTTAATTTTAATATAACAATATATCTGAATACGTTTTTCAATTTTAGAAAGCGTCCATGTTCCTGTTCCTGGAATTTGGCGTTTCTCACAATTTAATGTTTCGCTTTGAGCGAGCTTCTACGTTAGTTGTCAAAACACGATGACATCAAAGGTCTAGGAAGGAGGCGCCTACCTTGCACTTAATATAGAGGGCACCATATCTATTTTATAGATGGATGGGATGGACTCTCTTCAGGATTGCAATACATCGTTTTCTTTGGAACACCTTAAAAGTCACATTTTTCTGTAATTTAAGTTTTCGGCCATTGTTTAATTTCATGTTATACCAATAATTCTATTGTGGCTTTTATGGAAGAATGAATGACGAATGAATGAATAAAACGTGTGACCGGCCATAATCTTAACCCATTTAACTAATTTAAAACATAGATTTTAAAAAATCAAATTTGTTTGTGAAATTTAGAAATGAAGAAAAATTCACCAAGGAAAGTGGTCTGACTCAGGTTCAAAATTATTATTTGGAAATTATTATTGTTTGTGTTTATGTAGCCTGTTTACAATGAACACGGGAATGAAGTAAAGCATAAACAACATAAATATAAAATATAAATAATCAAAATAATATTGGTTGAAACTGTGTCTGCATAAAGGAACAATGATGTAAACATGGTATCGAACAGCATATCAACGTAAAAAAAGTCTAGTCTGAAAAAATTCCTCCAGTGGGATTTGAACCTGCGATCTCTCAGTCATTTGGCGAGTATCACGCTGTTTAGACAAATTCAACAGAGGCCCGTCCGCGATTTTTTTTTCCGTACGAAACATTTACATGAAACTCCACTCGGGCCGTCTCGACTGCAATCGACCCGAAAATCTCATATTGCCGAATTAAGGAGGTCAAAAGGTCATCAATAGATAAACGTCTACAAAACAACTTCTGAGAGAACGTCGCTGTCTAACTTTTAAAAATACATTGATGTTACCCTGTCTCTTATACACATCTAGATGTGTATAAGAGACAGATGAGAAGGTGGCCGGTGGCCGGGGGGCGATTTTTTTTTC